AATTGGCCCTTCCTAAGTCCCACCCCTTTTTGCTCTGAGCTCCAATAACAGTTGAGCAAGCCTCAGTCAGAACCTCAGTCAACTTCCTCCTCTCCCGTGCTTAGACATGCTATGTGCATATAGAAATACATAGAAAGACAACCACATTTTGAAGATGGTTAAAAGATAAAAGTGACAATAGTCCCATCTTAAGATACCTAGCTAATGTTAGCAAAATGCAAGCTAAATAGCTAGCTAATTTACACGAATTGTTAGTTACATCTGAAAGTTAATGTTAGCAAAACAATGAAGTGGCTATTCTCTTCATTTTTGACTGCCCTTTTTTACTTAAATCGCATTATATCGCCAAGTTTACAGTATCACAATATATCATAATATAGGCATGTTCAATTATTGTAATTATTGTATTTTGTGTAGTTGTTCTAGTGTCCTGGGAGGTAATGGTTTTGGACATACAAGGTTTCTGCCTGACAGTGGCGATAACTAACTACAGGAAAGGAACAGTCCCTCTAAGAGTGACATTTACTGAGCTGAATAATCCAGGTGCGGTTTCTCTCTATAAATAGCAGACTGGGGCAGAAGTGGTCATCTAGGGAGGGTGTATAATGTTTCCATTAGAGAGCAACTTCAGCAACAGCGGCCTGAGCAGCAGTAAAACCACTGTTGTGGGCTATTAACCAGCATGTGTTGTAAATGAAGGGGCCAAATGGTGCTGATTAGTGGCCACATCGGCCATCACAGAGGAGAGGGGCTTTAAAGGCCCACACTCTTGCCAGGAGACAAACAAGCCCAGTACTGGAGCAATAGTTGGATTTTTACATTTGTACAGATCCACTAATTACCCTCTGAAAGCCAGGGTCAGACCATGTGATGCATTGGATGGATGCATTCCTCATGGGCAGCTCAGTCAGATGTCCAAACTGACCACCAGCTCCTGACAGGCTGTGAAAATCTGTCTTGACTTTTGCCAAAGTTGTTATGCTGTTGCTCTAATACTCCTAGAGGCATGTAGTGAGGGTAGTTTTCCTGCTGCTAGCTGTTGAGTTGAACTTATAACAATACATAATGTTTTTAGAGGGGTTAAGTAGCTGGTTGACTCTCAATCAACAAACCTGAATGGTCACAATATGTTTTACAAATACTGAAGTTATATAATATTTTGTTGTGTGTTCTGTATTATCTCAAACATGGGGGCCTATTTGTTCCTAGGCTCGGAGCCCTTTTTAAAGATTTTTTTCGCTCTAATTTGCAAATGTATCTGCTTGCACAACTGTGGCTTTTGGGGTCTGTATGGTCCAAGGCCAGGAACATCTGCCTCTCTTGGGTATTATGGCTTAATGCTGTTGTGGAAACAGAAACCAAAACTGAGTCCTGTGTTGTCCTCAGACCTCAGTTTTTAAAAACAAAAATTAAAAAATAACATCTGAGACACATAAAGTTCATGTCTTATTAAAGGACTGCACTGTTTTTGCATGTTTTACAACAAAAGCTTTATCCAATTTCTAAAATGATGTGTATCTGTGTTCTTCCTATCTTCCAGGCCGCTACTGGTGCTCATTCATTTCAGTGCCTTCAACTTCAGCCAACTTGCAAAACTGTAAGACTTAATAGAGTTGTTACAATTGCTAGGGATGTAATCCATCACAGTAATCATGTCTGATTTAAAGTCACACTGATGTATTGCAACACTGCACTGATGCATGATCATCGAGTTGCAAGTGTGGATGACATTTAAAGTCTACTCTGCATTAAGCACACAACAGTGATCTATGTGGAGTTAGTATCCAGATCCATGTACCACCTTCTAAAAATACTCCATTATAGGTAAAAGCTCTGCATTTATTTATTATTATTGTACTTGTGTAAAAGTACAAAAGCATTATGAGCATAATTTACTACAAAAGTAAAAGGTCCCACTATGCATGCAAAATGCCCTCTGTCAGAATAATTACATCATTAGATTATTAAAACTAATGCATTAACACAAAGGCAGCATTTTGCTTTTACCCTAACATTGCATTGTATTTTATATTTTATATTTTTAAAATCTTAATCTGAAGCTGTCATAAATATTGTGGGGGAATGCAATATTTCCCATAAAATAAGATGAGATGAGATAAAATAAGATAAAAACAATGCCTGTGTTGCACAAAAATAAAAAGATAAGATGTTCCTTTACTGATTCCCTGTAGGGGGACATTCTAATTTGGCAGAGCAGCTCAGGGGAATGTCATGCAAAAGAGTAGTGAAAGAATCAAATATAATAAAAAAGAATAAAAATAAAATACTAGAAAATATAAAAAATGCATTCACTATATGCTATTAAGTGGAATATGGTAGCGAAAACATTTTGTATATATGTATATACTGTGTATAAGTCTACATGTGCAATGATTCAAGGTACTGTGCAAAAAAGAGTTGTGCTTAGCAGGGTATTAGTTAACAGTCTCATTAATAGTTAACAGTTAATAGCATACAATGAAAATATCAAGGAGGTAAAGTACCTCCGAATCGCCTTAGTAGCTGAGTACATGTATTTAGTTACTTTCCAACGCTGGTTACACTGTTCTCGGGATACAACAACAGAAAAAGGTAGTGCCGCGTTGTTTGAACGGTCCTCTGCAACCGGAACCCTCGTTCTTTCGCTAAAGTTCCCCCCGGAAAGGTTATTTCGTAGTACATGCTAAACGCTGCTAGCGGAAGATAAACAGAAACTGTGTTCAACATGGCAGAGGTAAGCTAACGATGATTGTCACTCTGTGCTTCACACAGTCAGTGGCGTGTGAACACTTCACTCCCAGTGTCGCAGTGTGTTGCGGGGTTCTGGCAGTATGTCTGACCGGAACACAGCAGGCACGTTGAGCAGCGTTAGCCTGCTAGCTCACCGGGCGGTCGGTGACCTGACTGGTAACGTTTACTAGTAACGTTAGTATTTAATAACTGCTAACAAGCTAGGATACTGAGAAAAGTGCTCATATGTGCCGCAGTGTCGGCAGTGTTGTTATAACGAGGAGCCGAGCTGCGTTCAATGAGTGCTGGTTCCACACAGTGTCGGTCTACACAACTGGACCACCGGGCTCAAACTGGCTCCAGGGAGGACAATAAGTACATCATAAAAACCTGATCTACTCACGGGTTAAAGATGGTAATGTTAGGGAGGATAGTTGGTCGCAGTAGATCTTCTGATTGTAAACACAAGCTCACAACAGCTTCAAACAGAGCCAGTGTTTAAATGCTCCATCCGTGGAGACAAAAGACAGGGACGTTCGATGGTGGTCTGGTGCTGAAAGGAGAATACGTCCATAAACCAATGAATCCGTGCCAGATGCTCATAGGTCATTTAAGTTAAATGTGAGACATCACCTGGTTTCCAGATCATAAATGACAAACAGGCATTGTGAACATGAGCAAGTGAACAAGTGTTCCTAATAACTGTGACAATGTGCACCAGGACCTGAAGCAGCTCAGTGGAATTCAGACATCATTTTATTATGTTCCAGCAGCTGTTTTTTCTTTTGATTGTGCACATGAGACCGTGGCTTCATGTCACTGATGAAGATTGTGACAGACACATGTGCAGAGTGCAATAGACCAAGAGACTGATGAGAGAGAGAACTAAAACCCTCTGGCATCAAAGTTCATTTCAATATATTTCTATGCATTCATCTTTGTCTTTGCACTTTTTAAAACAGGCCTAACCTAAACTCTGCTGTAATTCCTTCTTATCATTCTGTGTCTATAAATCTGCCAGGAACCCAAAACACCACAAAACAACCCAGACCCCTATACAAGTGTGCTAATCTTTAGTGGTGATCCTTCAAAATATTCAATAATACAATTTAAGGTTGTACTGTTTCACTATTTATACACACAAATACAGCAGAAAGCTATCCTGGAGGCAGTTTACATGTAAAGTGATTTTACTCCAACTTGTTTTTGTGCTTTATATATTGATAGTTTAGATTTGTCTCAAAGAGTTACAGACAGAAGTGAGATACTGTGTGAAAGCCCCTCACCGGCCCCAACTGCTGTATATAGTATATAAATGAAGTTATGTTACTGTCAATGAAACATGCTCAGTGTGTTCCCTGACACACAGACCATCCAGACCGGTACTGTATCAATGTATGACCATGTATCAATTGTTCTTCACAGACTCACAGCCTACAGGACATGAGGCAGCAGGCAGCCATCGCTGCCAAAGTCTTCCTTCAGAGAGATTACACCAACGGCACTGTGTGCCAGTTCCAAACCAAGTTCCCCTCTGAGCTGGAGACCAGGGTAGGTTACACCTCTTCATTGTGTTCTTCAGAACGACAGTCACACTAACACGCTCATACATGTTTCCATGACCTCTGTCCTGTTCTGTGGATGAGTTGACACTGGTGTTCAGACTGGTTTAAGGAATAATCCTGTGTAGGGCTGGTCAGTATGACCAATGCAAGAAGATTAGAACATGATTGAAACAGTATATATTTTTTTTATGCACGTTGTAACAACTGGATTTTAATGTAGTCATTTTACACTTCATGCAAAACATTCTATATATCCACTTACTATTCATAGTCACAGGGAGAGCTGGCAACCTTCCCAGCATGCACTGTGAAAGGCAGAGAGACACCCTGGACCAGGTCACTAGATCCCTCCCAGGGCTTATATCTGGAACCCTCTGGTTCAGTTTCTGAGTTCACCTGAGCTACGTGTCTCGAGTCTATGAGAGGAAATCCAAGTGGAAGTAGAGATTTCTGGCATAACTTCACATAGTTCAAGGTCTTTTAACCACCCCAATAAGAGGGAGAGCATCAGTATTAAGGATTGTATTACCTGCAAAACAAAATGATCTTTATGATACAGTGCCTATGTGTATAACACAGGAACTCCATTAAGAAGAGTAATCAGCCTTGTTGTCAGACCTTTCATCAAAATGAAACATCTCATCTCTATATTTTATACAGACAAAGTGGTGGTAATTGGGAGTTTTTACATATTACAAAAATCTTCTTAATGCTATGTGTTTTACGATGGACTTCATTCTCTTTTAAGTTTCAAAGTCCCTTCCAATTGTAAAGTGTTTTGTCAGTATGCCACACTAAATAGGCACATTTTGGGTAAAGGCCCCCTCTATACAAGCTTGGGTGCTGCCCCACAGATGCGTCAGACATGTCCATTGTTGCATATGGAGTAATGCATTACCATGGAAAAAAAGGAGAATGAATTAAACATTATAATTTAACTTGATGTTGAGCAAGACACTGCTTAAATGGTGCATTTATCTTAGCAAACCATTGAATGGATGTACTGCGGCTGTTTAGGCACTGGAACCAGAAAGGCAGCTAAAATCAATGCGAACGCCACCCGAAAGTGAAGAACACCATCAGCAGCGTCTCCAGAGGAACCCTGCTGGACTTTGTCTTCATGTGACCACACTGTGGAAGTGGGTTGAGAGCAGGCATCGGTAATGATGCGGAGGAGGAAGAACAGGTCGCCGAGACTGAGCAGCCTCCACGCCACATTAAAGACGGTGGCAGCAAAACAGTTCAGAGTTCGCAGGACAGAAAGCTTAAGTTTTGAAATGCACGCACCACATGAAAAGAGCAGCTTCACAACACTCAAACCACTCACTGGTGGTTTATTGGCACTTCCCTCTTGATTGGGTGGTCTCCCATGTTTTCTGGTAGGATTCAGTTCTCACACACAAACACACTGAACTGCTGGACGAATGCTCCCCCCCCCAGGAAATAAAAGCTTAAGTCCCCTATCATAAAAAGTTCTTTCCACATATATTTTTTAATGTTTTTCTGTAAACCCAGTTGATGAAATATGTAGTGAAAAGCCAAGCTGGTTAGTAGCTTTCATTTTAAGGACAGTCATTTGTGTCACTTTGTCAGGATGTTTGCAGAACATATTAACCTCATGTTTTGTTTACCCCAGCCGTATAGTTCAGGACTTGTTTTGCAGAAGTTTGCATGCTGTAACATCACATTCTTGCAGACAATTATCTTAGGCTGTGGGATTTATTATTTTTGGGAGCTCTTTCCTGTTTTAATGCTGTTGGAGAGCTGTGCCAAAGAACTGGGAAAGCACTCAGTGTTCTAAATGTATTTGGCAGCCAGATTGCCAAACCATTCAAGAGAGTATCATTCATTTAAGAACTGACAATTTTCACTGATCTGTGTCTAATATTTATTTCCTTGGTTCACATTACACTTAGTGACAGTTACAATTAAGACAATATCCTCTCTTCCACGCTTGAATTTGTAAACCCTCTTCAGCCATGCATTCTCATCTAACATTTTTGGAATGCTAATATGGCTGCGTCAGACGTAATGGAAAGATGCTCAGGCGGAGAAATGTGGTTTGAATCGCAGCCTCTGAATTGGAAAATGAGAAAGAGAACAAAGGCTCTCAATGGCGGGTACCAAACACGCCTAAGACCACTGATGTGTTGGAGCTTGTTGTTGCATTCCTCGGGCACAAGGGAGCAGAACACTGGAGGGTTTACAGAGGCTCAGGAGGCCCCTGGCTAGCTCCTCGTCTGGTCTGGAGGCTCCTTCCCCCCCCTCCCACTTTAAATCAAAGAGAGATCACCAGATCCATTCTGGACACCAGCATGGGACTAGTGTCAACACCCCAGTCAAAACAGCCTCCGAGTCCAGCAGCACTCCACCCTCCATCAGTCTTTCCTGCAGCAAGCAGTCGTTTCAGGAATTGTTGAGAAACGCTGGTTTGATTATCAACCACTATGTGTGCCAAAAGCTGTCTGCAGAACAGCAGAGATGCATCTTTATGTTCTTCGAGGTGTGCCTGTACCACTGGAGAGGAGAAACCATAAAGATTCCTTCCTGGGTTGTCACTGTGTGTGTCCGACTTTCAGCGCGTTTGTCCTGTCAGTTTTTAAGTGAAAACATTCACAGAGCATATGGCCATGGCATCCTAATAATTCCAGGAGGTGTTTCCAATGTGGGAAGGAGGCCCAGCATTCCCTTGATGTATGACCAGTCCAAGAAAATTCAGCCGCTCATTTATCTAGAGATGGAAAGAAAAGGAGAAAACGATCTGCTGCTAATAGGACCAGTTCCACTCGAATATCCCAACAGAGGCAGAAAGCACTCCTGCCACACTACTGTCCAAACACAAACCTGGCTCTGTGCCTCGATCTAATGACTTTAACCCCTTTGGTCTTTTCCCATCATGTACTCCAGATTGACAAACAGCAGTTTGAGGAGACGGTGCGGACATTGAATAACCTGTATGCTGAAGCGGAGAAGCTGGGAAGCCAGTCGTATATTGAAGGCTGCCTGGCCTGCCTGACGGCGTACACCGTCTTCCTGTGTATGGAGACTCACTATGAGAAGGTGAGAGACATTTCACCTGCATAGATGCATACAGTTCGCTCAGCAGTCAGTCTTAATTTTGGTCATAAAATCAAAAGTCTGTGATTTTTAGTCGCATTTCGTTATCCTTAAAAAGATTTTTTGTTTAGTCATTTTACTCAATTTTCACTAACAAGAAATCTTAACATATCAGTTCTGTTGTAGTCATCAATAAAGTATTTGCCAAAAACATTTTAGCCAAGGACTTAAATCAGTTTTAATATCAAGTAAGACTTGCACAGAAAACACAGAGAAGTAGTTATTTATAAACCCTTACTTTGACGTGGAAATAATTTAAAGCAAAATCTTTACTTAATTTAAGAGCAAAGGGATTTTCCTGCTGCTTATGTCAGGGTTTTGCAGTTTTGGGAGCATATGCGCCCAAGCCAGTGGTGAACTTTGCATTAGCTTTATGAGCAATGTGATAGGAATGAATTACCAGATGCAAGGTGTTTTGAATTAAAAACAGAATGCAATGTTTCATCATGAATAGTGTCTCAAATTACAAAGATGTAACCTTGGCTGTTCCTGACTAAACCCTTGTTTGTGCGAGCTTTAACAAGGCGAAATTGCTATGGCGGTTCAAGTTGATTTGAGATTTATAGATTACAGGTTCATTAATTACAAATTGGCCTCTTAGAACATGCATAAGCAAGGTTTCTTATCCTCAGTATCTTTTATGAACCCAACGTAAGCACACCATCAGAAACGATATTAAGACTAAGTAAGCAGAAATCAGTAGAAATTACCATTTGTCAAAATGACAAAAATGATATCACACTTGGGGACAAACAAGATAATGGGGTTGGGATGATCTTTTCATCCAGTTTCAGTGTCAAAATTTAGCAACGGTGGAAGAAAATGCACATTCTGGCTATGTGTTTTTCAGTGTGCAGTAATCCTTCAGTTCACCATCAGTGAGTGCCAATCAGCTTATTACCAACAGGAGCACCTAGTGGCTACCTGTAGTTAGAGGCGTCCGAAGACCTGCCTCACTGAACACTTCAGAGAGCCCTTTCCCAACATTTCAACAGTAAATCCCATTAACCCATCAACCAAAAACCAAACTATACAAACCCACTTCTGACAAGCAAACAGATAACGTAGTAATGTCATTTTTTACATTAGGGTTAGTTTCCAAACAACCAATATGGGCAACAACATAACAACTACATAATGAACCGACACATCACCATTTAAAAACTAGATTGTCAGAACATGAATCAGCTGTCAGACATGTTGATCTCACCCCACCTGCTGCTTCTCAGTTTAGAGAACTAATCATTGTTTCCCAACTCAAGTGTGTCTGTGTAGAAAAAGTGATTAGAGGTGGTAATCTTAGAGGACTACTATTTCATTGCGAAGCTTAGTGGATTTTCACATTAAATGCCTTGTCTCTAGTTCATTTCAATAATGAGGTCTCCTTTCCTGTAATAACTGTAATAAACAACATTTACACGTATCCATCATGAATCCCTGCAGTATAAGACAAATCACAGTGTAAGATATTTCATTGTAGAGTACCACAGATATGGTGGTTCATTATCTAACTAATAAAACTGTAGTTAGTCTTCCTGAAATATCAGAAATCATTTTATGATTTGCAAATCCTAACAAACTTAAAAAAAATAACTCTGCTACTCTGCCATCATGGCTGTACACTCTTTTCACAGCAAAATGTAGTCCAAATATCCACCTGTTTTTCTGCAAAGCCCTGCTGTTGCTGTCATTTAGTTTTTCATCACCTGCTCACTTGTGCAGGCTCCTGACACCGTAGGGTGCGGTTAGCTTCAGGCTCCAGCTCTGTTGGCAACGTGCCTGCTACTGGGAAGACAACCCAGGCACATAGGAAGAGAAGTCATGGTTCAGAAAAATCTGTCATTTCGTGTGCTCCTTTTTCATCACAAAAATACATATGGATTTTGTTTTATGTTTGTGTTTTTTTTTGTTTATTTCAGTTCAGATCTTTGTTGTCCCTCGAGGGGAATTTGATTTGCAGCAGAGGGCAGAAAACACAAACACAACATAGAAGGAAACATTTTTCATCAATAAAATCATAGAAATGTAGTTTTTGTTTCATAAAATCTTTTTCCTCTCACCAATGGCTCATCCTAACCATTAAAAGTAGGTAGTTAAGCAACATATTAACAGTTCTTGATAATAAAATGGACACTTGTAGCATAGAGTGTTAAAAGCTGTTTTGTACTAAATGTTGCCACCGAATGTCTGGTCAGGTTCTATAGTTCCTGATTTCAGTTATATTTTTAACGATCTATTTTATTTAAGTTCTTGTTCAACTGCTTGTGTTGAGTCAAGTTTAACGTTTCAGAAGTTTGGCTTCTTCTGTTTAATTAAATTAAATGATTTAATTAATAAAAATTAGTATTGTACCAAACCCCAAACAGCTATATAGCATATGGGCACTAGTACAAATGTCCAGTGATACCCAGGCCTAATAATGACCATTCATTTTAGAAACAGGGTGTAGAGATCCCGGATCTTGCACTGGCTTCTGCATGTAGATATGTTAACGACGCAGTGTATGGGTGACATTGGAGATGACTGAAATGGATTAGTACTTTAAGAAGTTGTGTTGCTGCTGTGTGGAAGCTCTTAGCTTGGCTGTAAATCAAATAATTTTATGACCTATGAGAGCTAGCAAATAAATATGATTTGTGCACATCTAAAATCCCTTTTGGCCCACTTCATATGGACTTGAAATGGATCTGCATGTCAGTGGTCCTTGCCTGTTCTATGAATTTGTCATTTAGTGGACAGGAGTGAACTGGGATAAAAACATTTGGCTTAGTTTGGGTTTTATGAGTGCTCGTAAAGTCATGCAATTTAAATGGACTGGTCGTTACCAGAGAAAAACCAGAGTCTGTTATTCAACTTTTCAGCTCAAGAATGTGGTAGATTTGGCTAGATGGGTCCTCTGGTTGCCTACTTAGTCGGACAAAGATTGGCTAGCTTGATTCCAGGTAGCAACAGTACCTACTATAGAAAGAAAAAGAGCACTAACACTTAACTCAAATGATTGGATGACAATTAGTTGATAGATATCTTCAACAGTATTGTTAATTTTTTGATCTTTTAATTTAGTTATCAAGCAAAAATTGTGGTTTTGCACTGTTGCTCGGAAACGAGTGAAGAACTTGTGACGGGAAGTTTTGACTAATTTAGGTAATGTGCTAGACTGTTTGAGCCAAAGGTATAAACCTTTAAAAACTCACCTACAATTCTTTAGCTTTGTGCTTTCAGTGTTATTTGGGTGGAACTCAACTCTTTTCCTGCAGCTAATAAAGTGGTGCTCAATGACGGAGTCACAGCAATGCTCAAACATTAGCAATATTTCAAAAACCTCCATTTACACCTCACATCTTAAAAGTAAATATAATATCAGTTGACTGATGTTAGCTATATTCATCAAATAGCCCATTATGTACATAAAACTGACAAATGTGGCAAATCTGCACAGTTCTTACCGGTAACAGTGTATGGAATTTGAATGACATGATCCTGCCTAGCCAAATCTACACTTATGTGACAATCCATAGCACAACACTACTCTATAGAGCGTGATTAGAAATGTCCTCTGAACACAAGCAAGCGTGCAAAAACATTGTCTAGATAAAATTGGCATAGATACAGTTTGCTCAGTAACAAAAATGTATCGACATCCAGCTCTAGTCTCATGGCATGAAACAAAGCTAGCATGGGGTAGACAGAAAAATGGAGGATCTTTTTAGAACAGTATTAAAGTTGAAAATGAAAACTTGAGTTGTGTAAATACTAAAGTAAGAGATTGAGATTCTTGTGTCTACATGTACTGTTATAATTACACCAGTGAACATGTGAGTGTGTTTGCTGTGCCCTTTTTAGGTTTTGAAGAAGATTGCAAAGTACATTCAGGAGCAGAACGACAAGATCTACGCACCACGAGGCCTCCTGCTCACCGATCCCATCGAGAGAGGCCTGCGAGTCGTATCCTACTCTTCAGTGTCTGTTGTAGCCAGGAAATACTTAGTTCTCCCTTCCACAGCCTTAACTCTTGAGCCTTGTTTAACTTTAAATAAACTGTGAACAATGACCCACTAAATAGATGAATTTAAGGCATTTATTTGACTCTGTACTTCAGAGGAAACACAATAGTAGACTTAAACTCAGACTGCCAACCTAACAAACAAATTAGAAACACAGTCAATGTTTTTACAATAAAAAAAACAACCTTGTTATGCGAGAATGAGCATGTACGGGAAAGAGGAATGATATATTGAGTATTTTGGGTAAGTTTAACTTGTTAAGCATACCCTGAGATCAGGAAATGTGAATGTAGTCCCACCACAGCCTTAAGTAGAACAAGGAGCTTTCACAATGACCTAATAGACATAGTGATTTACAGGCCTTCTGCCCCCACCGCGTCTTTCCCTGTAACTGCTGAATGAAAATGGAAAGCAGCAGTCCGGGCAGCTTACAGGAAATCCAGCGCTATGTAGGGATACCCTGTAAAAACACCAGATAAAAGTTAGTATGTAATCTATAGCATCTGCATAAAATCAGCGGGTGCACCAACATCCTGGCTGTACCAGTGTTTGTGAGCGAGTGTGTGTGTGCGTGTGGGGTGACTCAACATCCCAATTAATTGTAACTGGGCGGCAATGAGAGATTAGGGATAACAAAATATGACTGAAATTGTTCACAGCTGAGCTTTGTTCCCCCTCTTGCCTATGATTTTACAGGGTCGACAGTGATCTGGATTATTTCTCCGACACTGTCGGGCTGCTGTGCTGACTTTGGCACAGGAGCACCGGGAGATTGACAGGAATGTCTCACCTGAACTGTTGTTTTAACATTCGAACCAAGGAAACACGATGATCGTATTTGTAACTGTCTAATGATGTGACTGCTAAATACTGCCATCTGAGCATTCACAATTCCCTCCAAGTCTGAGGGATTGAGACCTTTTTTTAAAAAGCTAACCTGCTGAGTGGGTTGCATTGTTGTCGTTTTGTCCCAGCTGTGATTTAAAGGACCAGTGTGTAGGATTTAGTGGCATCTAGTGGTGTAGTCACCCTGACTTTCTATGCGCAATGGGGAAACTACAGTGGCCACAAATGTGTGACTAACACACAAAGCCCTATCTAGAGCCAGTGTTTGGTTTGTCTGTTCTGGGCTACAGAGACATTGCAGTTCAACATGGAGGCCTCCGTGAAATGCGACCCGTGGCATCTGTAGAAAAGGCTTATTCTAAGGTACTGAAAATTATAAATACAAATATTCATTAATGGCATTTTACAGTACATTTTACAATACTAGTAGCCTAGTATTTCCTATAAATATAAACCGAAACTTTCACTATGCAAACATTTGATTTGGCCTCCACTGTCACTGATATTCACTGAGTACTCTCCGTCTTTATGTGTATATGTGTGTGAGTGTGTGTGTGTTCTTCGCCTTTCTCAACAACCATTCATCTAATCGATTTTACATTGGTGGGTGTATTTCTGGGGATGTAAGGACGTGCAGTGTCGAATTTGGTGCAATTTGGACTCAATATCAACAAACTTTAGCAAAAACAAACGATCAGCGCAGCAGCGGTTGATTCTCTCCTGCCGGCTGCTGAAAAGAGCTGTCAACTGAACATTCGATCACACAGCACAGTGGAGGAAGAGATGCAGCCGCAGTTACACATCTGTGTAAACAGGAGTTTACTATAACGACCAGTCAGTCAGTCAAACCTCTCTTTCTTTTCCCTCTGTTTCACACAGTTATGCGTTTAGCTTGTCATCACAGTTGTGTGTCTTTAGGACACAGCATTTGTGTTTTATTGATGTTTAAAGGTATGCTATTACATGGCTTTTGTTTTTTTTTTTGTTTCTGGTAGTTGTTATAAATGGCTGGGATTCTCGAATATTAACATCCATATTGACCATAAAAAAAAGTAAAGTGTAAACTCTGATGAAAACATACCTATGAATATTATATTCCATTTCTGACAATAGATCGTCTTAAATGTTACACACTGGACCTTTTTAAAGAACTGTAAGAACCGTGCATGTTAGCTACTCTGTCGTAATTGGAATTTCAGTACGGAGGTGTTGCCTTGGCTCAGTCTGGTCACTCGCCGTGGAAAGTGGAAGTAAGCAATTAGTCTAGCTTTTGCTAAAGCGAGCGAGCTTGTTGAAAAAGGAAACACAAACAGCTTGTATCAGTGTTCGTATGATTTGCAGGGCTATGACATGCAATTCAGACCCTGAGATGCCCGTCAGTTCCGGCCATGGGAAGCACCCACCCAGAAGCCTGCAGACGCTGTTCCATAAACATGTCCAAAAATGGAAAAATATGCACTGCATGGCTGCAGTATCATTATAGTTTATGTTACTTATGTACAAAGTGAGGAGAATGCAGATTTCAGTTGGCTTTAATTGAATGTAAAGTGAACTTTGCTTTATATGCTTTTCCTTGACTGAATCCTGTTAAGATTGAGGTCACCATCTTTGAAGACAGAAGCCTGACCAGATAAAAGCTGCCACGGTGAGTCTCATAATTAATATTCCATGTATAATGAGGACTTCTCTTACTAGTACTGATTTGGTGCTGGGCTATTAAGTATGTACAACACAAGAAATAACTTGGAAAGCGTACAGATACATTTTTCCAATTCTGAAACAGACATTTTCCTCTTAATTTTTTTGGAAAGTATTGCAAAGATGAGGGCTTGAGCCAAAGAGCTGTAATAAAAGAGGGTTCACTCTTTATGTGTGCCATTGCTTTCATGCAGAATGCCTCCTCTGCATTCAAAGAAAAATCCCACATCAAAGTTTAAAGCGCCTTCATCTGTGAGTAATATCAGCAAACTGCTTTACAGTCAGGAGGCCTGTTTCAAGCATTTAAAGGATCATTCTGCTGACTTTGTGACTTATTGTTGCACGGTGCTCAGTGTTTTGTCAGTTACTCCACTGAAGGCTGTACAGTACTCACATGAAGTACTATTAGAGTGCTGCTGTCCAGAGCTCACGAACGAGCCAAACCCAGCAGTCGAACCCGAAAAGTGATTAAGTGTCCTTTCAGCACAACAGCACGCTCACTGCACTTACATGTCTTTAAGTAGCTATAATCAAACAATTATCACATTTCAATTCAAATAGCCCATTTCCTTGTTTACTTTGCCGGCCGCCGGGCCTCTACCGCATTCATTTCATATTGGAGGAATTGGCACAGTCGGCTTTCAGGGCCTCAGTTTGAAAGGGTTGCTCGTCCTGCAGTGAGATACTGGTTGGATTTGTCTTACAAGCTTACTTACATGTTTTTTTATTTACTGAAACGGTCTCACTTGTATTGATACATTAACAATTAGCCATAAACAAACCCTATATATATATATATATATATATATATATATATATATACACACACACACACACTCTATACGTTCTCATGATTTTATTTGTAAATATATATAGCTATATTATAATATTAGTAAATTCGTATTTACTGAATATTTGATAATAAAGCAATACCAACAGCAACTCAAAGTAGTGTTAAGGTTACGTCCATATTCACATTAGCTCTGCTTTTTTTTTATAAATGTCAGCGTGCTGCCTGCATGTTTTCACACTTTGTCTCAGCTGTTTCGTTGCTGCTTCTTGTCTACCTCTCAGTGGATTGTAGATGAACTTAGCACATTAATCTGTTACTGACATTCCTGACAGAGACAGCCTGCAAGGTGCTTTATATTAATGGTAGTGAATAAGGTCAAACAGATAAATCAACTTCTGAACGAGAGACATTTTGGGCAATGGAGTGTACGGTTTTAGTATTTAGGAGATACACAAATTGAAAAATAAACTAGTTAGCCTACTGTTTTAATTTACTTTGGGCGTCTGTCACATTATTGTTAGTTTTTATTTATTGAAAATTAAATACATGTTGTCATAGTTCTTACTTTCTATTTATTTTTTCTCTTTTTATTCATATTCTTCTGCATACTTTTCTTTGACAGAAATAACAAGATTTAAGAAGAAGAATGAATTAACTGGTTCAATTGTACTTTCAGCACTAAGTCTGACCCAGACCCATTTTGTAGTTATCCATCTCATTTTGACAAAGCACAAGTACCATCCAGTACAGAGCTGCAGACAGACAGCAGCAGTGTTTCCAATCACAGCTCTTGGAGTTTTCTTCTATCATTGCTCTGGCTGTAAATAAAAAGGAAGGATTCCAGTGCAAAAACCTTTCCTTTCATAGACACAGTATCTGCATTTCAATGTGATAGGCGGGACAGTGTCTGAGCTAGCTAGAGAGAGACTGAAATAACATAAGACTGCTTCAGTATAGCTCATGAGTTTATGCTCTGAAGTGAACTGCCTAAATAGAATTTTACTGAGCAACCATGGAAGCCATACACTGGTTAGTCTTAACTGTACACTGGGTACAATGTTAGAGCCATGCAGGACCACATGATTACATAGTAACTTAAAACTTTTATGCCTTTTACTGAGGCATTAAGTGTTGAAGCTTTCAATATATTGTAGGATTTCAATATGCATATTTGTCCAAAGAGGTTGCACAGAACTGTGTATTGGCAAGAATCTGGATACATAGGATATATATCACAGTGCATGGGATTTTGATTCCATACTGTAATCAAGGCAATATACATATTTTAAAAAACTGCCGTAGTATAAAAAACACACCAACATATGCAAAGAATCTGATCAAAAAGAAGAAGTTTACTTTTTTATGCAACCAGAAGAGTGGGAGATGCATTTTTATTTATCACAGTCCCTGTAACATCCATCATAGCCCTCAGTTTAACAAAATATATCAAATATATTCTTACACTCCTAAGGCTGTATGCTGGCTAGCTAGAAAACAACTTAAACAGGGTTTTACTATCATTTACATCCACCTCATCATTTCAGCAGCAGCTGTCTCACGCCTATCTGAATTATGTTGCATTGATGCAGTGGTCCGAGGGATCATCACAGACTAAGATGGTTTAATTGTGCTAACTTGTGTGTAAATGTATGGTAAATTGTCACGCGTGTCACTGATAAAACTGGTTAGCATTTCAAGTGGCGATGAGGTTTTGAAGTATGAAAAGGGTCTTACAAAAGGTAAACAATTTAAGTTTAGGATTCCTGCATATAGCCTTGTTTATTATTCATGCAACTTCATCTGTTAAAATGTGTTCAATGTCACCTTGATGCAGAATTTCTCAACTGCCAGCATAAACCCCAAACATTACTGCTCTGTTTCCAATCTTCCTTCCTGTCCCTTAATTGTATTACGCTGGAAAGAGGAAGAGCTTAATAAGACCAACTCATACAGCAAGTCACCAAATCTGATTAAAATATAAGGGCGCATCATTGATTTGAAAGGAAACTTATTCTGGGAAATGTTTTCCAACAAAGACAATATTTTTTTCCTTGTTTACCCTGTTATATAATTTGTTTCATTAAGAGCATTCCTCAACAGTTATCATTCCATGGTAGTTATGTACAATCCCGCAACGTTTTGTTTGAATGCTAAAACACTGTGAGACAGTACAGTGTGATCGTCAACCACAGATGGCTTTTATATGTCTGCAGATCTTTCACCGTGGTAGACGCCTCACGGTTTTTGCCTCAGGAGCACATCTCATCCCATAAATTGTTCCAGTCTCTGTTACAGTAAATCCCTTCTTTTCCTCTTGTGTACAGAATAAGGCAAGGAAGCTCATTTTTCTGGTGTCGTCCTAGGATGTGCTGGGCCCAGATCATACTGAAAAGTACTTTGTGTAGAGGCTGGACAGGGCCCAGTCTGCACTGCAGCGTAGACACCATCTTCAGGCAGAGTGAGACTTACCCCATAAATATTTTACCTATGGGGAATGTTGTGTTTGGAAACTTTTTTGAGACCACAGACCCCTGTGGATGGATAAACCATTGCCCTACTACCGTACAGACGCATACGGGGATTAATCTTCTCGTTTGAAATTCCTGCCGAGCGCCTCGATACATATACATGTCCTGTTGAGGAATGTAAACCCTGGACTTTTATAAGTAGCTGTTGAGAGAAAAGTGCGTTGGAACTTTGCCATGGCCAAAGACAGGGTAAACCACAGACTGAACGCACATACAGTATATCAATCCTTCTCAGTGTTTCAGCCTCTTTATCCTGCCTGGGTGTCTTCTCTGTCTCCTCCAGGCTTAGTCTGATGCATCAGTGTATCAGACCGATATCAGCCTTGTATTAAAACCCATATTGGCCATTAAGTCGCCATTAGGCTGTCACATTTTGATCGGGATAGAGCTTCCTGTATTACCAGTGTCGTTTTTTAAGCGTCTATAATCAGTATTCTTACACGAAACAATGGATCACATGACTATGCACTCTTTACTACAAGCAATGCATTTCACATAGATTCTCACCTAACTCTGTAGTTCCCGTCATCTCTACACAGAGTTTTAGTGCCTTTATTTGCTCTGGCAGATGGATCTGGCCATTCAGTTGGATTTCCACCCATCCTGGATCTGGTCGCGCTGATCACAACTGTTTATCTAATTTGCAAATTGTTCTGGCGATGCCAGGCTAGTAACTTTACAGTTTTGGTTCGCTTTCACCACTCTCAGCAAGCACTAAAAAAACCCAGCATACACTACCTGCCCAGCACTAAACTGCAGTTAGCAACTAGTTAGCTCTTAAAGAGGACTCTCATTCATCAGGTGGCTAGAAACATGACTCCAGATAAGTGCTAATTTTGATCCATTTCTGCAGGATGTGTGAATACAGTTTGGCCACTTTGGGTGGAAGAAAATCAGGAGCAAAGTTAACGCAGGTTTAAAGCTTCAGTTGTTATTTGATTTACTCCCTATATTTTTGTTTCAACTACTGACATACAGTATTACCTTATAAAGTTCTTATGGGGAACAAGTTGTCAAAGAATAGCCCTGTTTTGGTCTCTGGCTAATTAGCTTACTTGATGACCTGCTATGTTTGCCAGTGAGTAGTTAACTTTGTACACTACCTGCACCAAATGAGAGACAGACAGAGATTCGGGCAGTGAGGCTAAACTAAAACAGTTGCAGGCCAGATAACCAAAACAGTGAGCTGAAAGAGGCTGAAAAGCTCTATAGAGCTGAAGGGAATGGCAGAGTTGGATGATAATTCTCTGGGGGTTCATAACTACAAATCCCTTTTACATGTGACATGTTACACAGTGACTTTATCCATTGCATAGAAAATATTGATTAGGGTAGCTTTAAGTGTCCATGATTTGGAGAGATTCTCCAAAAAAAAAGAGATTTTCCACTCTGCTCAAAATAAATCTGTGGTTGAAACCTTGTATGTTTTTTTTCCAACTTATTTATTTTGTTTTAATTGTTTGAGCCTTTTTTTTAGCTAGAACATAAACTGAAATGTTGACTTATTATTGGCCCCTAGCTGCTCCAGAACAAAAAAAAAAACTGCTGGTATCAACCCTCCTCACGTATCTATCAAGCTGTCCTCTCACATCCTCTCTGCTTCCCCGTTATGGCTGAAGGCCTAGCAGGCTTAAAGAATAATTTTTTTTTTTGTTTGGCTGGGAGCCTCCCAGTCGGAGGGCCGAACAGCGTGATGGATCAGCCTCTGGTGGGATGACTGCTGTAGAAAAACCGGTCTTGGCCCAAACAGCTCCCGACTGCTGAGCCATTCATTCAGAGGCAGATGGCACAGAGTTGGTGTCCTGGCATCTCGTGCAAAAGCCATTCAGCTCCTGATAAGGTGTCGCTTGGCTCCACGTAGACGCTCTCCGCCTGACCACAGCACGCCAACAAACCTGTAAATTAGGCTGCACACATGAGAATATTTAGTGTCAGTGGGGAATGTTGGACAAGGTAAATGCAGAAATGGTATTCATCATTACTGTGTTGTTCTTTTCATTGTCTGAAATTAGTTCTTCCTAAACTGCCAAGAATATTTTTACAGGCCAAACCAATAGACATTTTTCATTGAAATGTGTTTAAGCACATTTGATAAAGCATTCAGAGAACATTTGTACAGCACTTAGGTCAACATTTATACATTCTTCATAAAAAAACCTGACAGAACTGTATCTGCTTTTGATACCAGCACTTTTGGAATATAAATGCTCTGTATTTGATGCTTGTTTCAACAAACTAAGCATCAATTGCAGTGTTTTGCAATGTACTCTGTGTGACTGAGACAGCTTAGTTTAAATTGTTGTGTTAAGCCACGCAATCTCACTGAGTTCTCTGTTTATAGTGAGCCAGCAAACAGATCTGTAAATTAGGATAAATCCTCAATAACTGTGGCTGTGTATAAAGGTAAAATACACTCAATCAAAAACTTCCTGTAGATGAAAATGGAAAAGAGTGTTACATTATATACAGTGGTGTGTTCTTTGACAGCTTTCCTAAAATTAGATTAAATAAAAAATTGCAATATATAACCTTGCTTAGAGTACGGCAATATATTGAATGGTAACCCCTGTATCATGTTACATATATCGCCAGATTATTCCAGTTTAAGAGTTGGAAGCAGTCAATAGTTGAACGTCAGACAAAGTGTAAGCAGTAAAAGCAGTTGAACTCTTTTAAAGTACGAGATGAAAAGCAGTTAAACCCTCAGCCATCAGTGAGTAAGAGCTGAATGGTCACTTCAAGTGGAAGTCTCTGCCTAACGCTGTACTTAACTTTATTAATGTTCTGTTTAGGTGAGCCACTTTAGGGGCACTCTTACTGTGCATGCTGACTACTGCCATGGTTTGCTGGTGCGCCTAAACAGTCATCATTATTGTTACGCATGTGCTTTTCTTGTTTATGACAAATCAGAACCTCTGTTGTGAAAAGGCTTTATTTAATGCTCGCTCAGTGTCCCGTCGCTAACTGTTTTCTCTCTGTTTCTGTAGCAGCTGTTTGGCTGAGCGAAACTACAGAGCCTGCAGCAGCCCAGAAGCAGTGCCCACCTCCCTGAGGACCAGCCAGACCTGCACCCTTAATACTGCGTCTCTACAATCTATCCCTTTTCCACTAACATTATGTGCATGTCCCAGGTTTGAGATATCATACCCGACACTTATTCAGCTATTATTTTATCCTTATGTGACATCCCTTTCCCTACTCATTAATCAAGGGTTAAAGTCTGTTTTATGCTTCTATTCGACAAGAAAAGGATAACTAACTTACACAATGTATTGACATTCAAACCGTTATATTTTATTTTATTTTATTTATTTTGGACTTAAATCAGCTTTTTGGAATTCCTAACTTTTGTATATTTCTTTCCTTTTCTGACACTCCTTTTTGAATAATGAAGCCAACACACAGGGTAACATTTTTATGAAGGACTATGGAACTCAACCCACACCCATGCTTTAAGTGATTGTCTTGGCAGAACTGAGGATATCATTTAAATCAAACAGAGAACTCTGGTTATTAGTGTGATTTGCTGCATGTGCCACACCTCACACTTTGTTTGCTTTACTCTTATTCATGTATTCTTGCAAGGGTGCTTGGTAGTTTATCGTCTCTCCTGCATGTTTCCTTTGTAGTGTTTGACCTTAATATTTAACTGACAACTGAACCTTGTCAGAATCTAAAACATTCCAGTCAAACTGTCAGATTCTAACCTTAATATACGTCTTTGATTTAAGAGATTATTTCTGAAAAACCAAAACTCGTGCTCGCTCTGTATTTAGCATGTAATATTGTTAAAGCTCACTTTTTTTGTAAACTGTGCTATGCATAGTGTTTGGTGACTACTGTTGATTTTTGACTCATGTCTAATAAGCATATATATTGTAACGTTGCCTTTGACCGAAGTATTAAAAGTGCTCTTGTTAGTTAACAGTGCCTGTAATGGCTTTGAATGTTGCCTTTGTTAAAGTCTAAAGGCCCGGTCACACCAGGAAACGAAAAACATTTCGCATCAATTGAAGTTCATTCCAACTGAATCGTTAGTGAAATTAGTGGAATTACTCGCGGGACAATCAGAGCAAATGTTTCACGTTGAGTTCAGCTTTTGTGAATTTGACCTTCAGATTTGCATTGTTGTCAACTAGCAAGCCTCTTGACCAGTGTTGGGCTACTTACTTAACATTTTTTATTTATTACTCATTACTCTTACCAATAATAATTAGTTACACCACTAGTTATTACTTTTCTGCTTCTCCCCACAAAAGTAATAGTGTCCATTCTCCCCAAAAATTCAGACTGACTACTAAAATCTAATTTTGTTTGTTAAAATCGAAGTAATGGAATATTTCTAGCTGCTGATGAAAGAGTATCTTCTTCTAAACCAGTTTCCTCTTCCACAATTCCAAAGATGAATCTAAGGATGTGATTAGATTGTTGGATTTTAAATTAGTAGGGGGTGCCAAAAAAAAGTAATGTTGTATTTTTTAGAGGGTAACTGTAATATTACTGAAATGTATTAGTAATTAGTCACACTACTTTTCTTAACTGTGCGGACCTTGGAAAGCCAGACAGTCCAAAATGGTGGAAGCTAATTGACCACTTAGAGGGAAGACTCCAATCTCCAGTCACCTGGGCTAGGAGCAGAGTTAGTGGTTAGCTCGCCAGCTAGAGCAGCTCAACAACCAGCTCTGCGGGTAGTCACCGTTTTCTAGAACCACATCTTTCTTAAAGCCGTGCAGATTAATTAGTTTAACTGCAGCACTTTCTGGTGTGACCTGGCCTTAACTGTGAAATCAGTCTTGGCTTTGTTCACTTATTGTTAACAAGTGTCCAAAACCTAAGATTATGATACAATGTTATTGAAACCTTAACAAAAGGTGGAGTATGCTGTGGTACATATGGCTGGTAATGTTTAATTATGAAATAGCTACATGTATAGTATAGATTTTTGAATGCCATAGCTAAAAGAGCAACAATTACCTTCATTTCTAATTATGTAAATAAAGTTTCATGGATCATTTTTGATTTAGCTCGTACTTTATCCATCTGGAGTTCGGTTAATTGAACTTTTCTATGTTTTGGGTTTTTTTTTTTTTTCAGTTGAAATCCAATGTTTTATCAATTTAAAACTTGTATGCCAATAAATGAAATGTGTACATATTTTATACCATGATTGCTCCTAGTGGTATGTTGGTGTTGAGAGTCTATGGATATTTTACATACACAAACACACACACACACACTTGAGAAAAGAGCTACAACACACAAAGTTCCTGGTGCTTGTTAAGATTTAGAGACAAAAAGTTTCGAACTGAGAGCTGAACGAACTCCAGGACTTCATTTCAACTTGGTTCGCTTTCAAGGACGGTATTTTGTGTTGAATGCAGGAAAGCTCTCCTGAATCCACCAGAGCTGCACTATTTCTCACAGCGGAGGTGAACTCTGACCAGATGGTTATATTCTCACAGGAGCAGCAGTGATATAGTGAGGGGGCGAACCATCCTACAGTGCTTGGATCGAGGTCCATGAGCAAGATGAGACATTTCCACACTCCTTAGTGGCTTGTCTATATTTTTCTGACCCCTGACTTTTGTGGAGGGAAATCAAGACACAGAAAAAAAAATCCTAACAAGGAGCAGTAAAGTTTCGTTATAGAACATGTACCTCATTCCTCAGTGTGGTTTTTAAACAAAGATATGATATGTATTTGAACTCTAACCCGTTATATGTCAGAGATCTTATCCTAAAGAAACATTCAAAAGTGTTTGAAGAAGGAAAAAATACCAAAAAACCTAAATGATTAATTGCCATAACAAAGTGTTCTTGGTGCTTTTAATATAGATTATGGTTATGTGAAATAATAAAAAATAATTGTAGCATAAGAGAGTTTTAATCATACCATTGAGATTGAGTGTTTGCATTCTTTTGAATTAAGACCACATTTCCCAGAAACTTGATTCATTTCTTAAATAAGTAAATAATAAATGATTTGCTGAGAGGAACAAATGGGTTGGAAGCTACTTTCAGTCTGTCTTTCACTTGGCCGAGTTGCTTTGCCTGAAACTGGTCTAAGATCACCTCTTCACAGTACAAACCTTCATGGGCCTTGGGGCCAGGAGACACAGGTGTTGCAAAAAATGTTGCGGTAATTTGAATAATTGCTCTACGAGGTTGCAACTAACGATTATTTTCATTATCGATCTGTCAGCAGTTTTCTCAAATAACTGACTAACTAGTTGTTTGGTCCCTGAAATGTCAGAAAATTGTGAGAAATGTTGATCACTGTTTCCCAAAGCGACATCCTCAACATAAAGAAACTAGCGAATATTCACATTTGGGAAGCTGAAATCAGAGAAGACTCTGAAAATTGTTTGCAATTCATTTAATAGTTGACAACTAATTGGTTAATCAGCTAATCGTTGCAACTCTAAACTGCTGATTTATTTGTAACAGAACAGGGGGTCCATACCTTGTTCACCAAATGAATGAAGTGACTTTCAATTCTTTATTTTATTTGATATTTTATTAAACAAATATTATACATTTGGTGAATGAAAAAGAAAGTTTAAAGAGTAGTGTTCACAGTTCACATGTTTAGGATTTCACCTTGTGAACTAATGACTATTCAACATTTTTACAAACAGTGGGAGTGGTACTAATTTGTGTAATTTGAAACATCACTGTTGGCATATGGAAGCCAAAACATGGCACCACTGCATTTTTAAATTCATTTCCAAAATAATTTAAAAATATTTTTTGGCCTTTTATTGCCTTTAATTATTAGTGAGAGCTGAAGAGTGACAGGAAAGTGGGGATAGAGAGACACAAGGGCCACAGGTCGGAGTCGAACCCATGGCCACTGTAGTAAGGACCCAGCCTTGGTATATGGGGTGCCCCCACAATTGCATTTTAATCCAGTCTCATGTCTACCAGTTAAAGTGTTTGTAATAAAAATGTTATATAGAGCCTTTTGTGTCTTCATAGGGAGCTGTGTGAAGTCTGATGAAGGGAAACTCTAGCCCATTGCGTGCTGACACGGCAGGCACCCCAAGAACCTGCAGTGTGAATCCCAGCATACATCCTCTCACTAAAAGCAACCATACAATTTAACAAAATAATCTAACAAAAAGGTTTTTGGTGTTTTCAACTAGGGCCGCACAATATGGTATAAACATCACATTGAGATTATTTTGACAGATATTGCAATGACGATATGGTTTGCGATTGTGAGAATGATTTTTTTGTTTTACAAATTCAGTTTTTGCTGGAAAAAAACATTAGAATCACAATGAGACATTTTTTGGGGTCTGTACCAAACAAACACATTCTCCATCTTGGAGAACAAGATTTGTAGTCCAGGGCATCTCTGCAGAACTACAGTACTTCATTATACTGCGGTTTGTCACACATTTTACCTTTATCAGAAAATTGACGCTATGATTACCATATTGCAATTTTGATCATATTTCGATTAATTGTGCAGCCCTACTTTCAACCGCATGTCACAGTCAGTGGATGGAATTGGCTCAGTAAGCTTCAGAAAAACTACTGAGTGGACCAATGCGTTAAGATAAAGCCCAGAATGAACTTTCACACTCACTCAGAGAATGTGACGTTGGTTATTATTAAAATGTTGCTGGCCGCATCTTTACAGTTAATACATTCCTCACTGCTCTCTACTGAGGTTTTTCTTCTCACATATTGGTTTGTGTGTGTTTCACCTCATTACTGCCTTTGCTTTTTATTTGACTTACAAACCCATAAAACCCCCTTTTGCAACCTGAACCTGGAACCGACAGGCACACTGATTTTTTCTGTAGAAATCTGATCTACTGACAGCCGACTGTTTGTTGAAGTTTCAGTCGAGACGGTACGTTCTGCTAAAGGATAAGAATCCAGTGTTCCATTATTGTGTAAATGCAGACAAAGTAGAGAACAGACATGATGCCAGTCGGATTTCCCTCCCAGGATTTGCCCTCATCTGCATTTTTTTGAAAATGCCATGGCATTTTGACAAAGAAAATGTGGCAATTTAATAAATTGTCCTGGAAATGATTTATGGCCTATTACAAGGACTATACTGTATTTTGCAATTATTCCCATACATTCACATATTGTGGTTTTCAGCTGTTCCACTGTGGTGGAACCCATAATGACCTTTTGTTACTTTTCTGAGATGAAAAAGTAAACCAGGAAGGAACAGCACTTTTAGGATATGGAAGCACACCAACTTAAAATCTCATAAAAATGTTGACATCAGTGCCGCAGTGAGACCCCAGTCCTCTGCTTCCTTCTAGCCACACACATATAAAACATGATCACTGCTCTCAGTGGCCTCATAGAGCAAGATGTGACATTTCTCAAAGCTTGTCTGTTGACCAAACATCTGTTGTTGGAAGGAGCAAACACTAGGTCTTTCATATTATACAAGCTCCTCACCTTAATCTCCATTATATAGAAAAAAGGCTTGTACATGGACAAAAAAAAAATAGTAAGGAGTAAATACAGGGTCAGTTTATACAATTTCATATTCAAAAGTGTGATAAACGTAAAAGAAATCATCAAATAGTATATAATATCTTGCAAAAAGATGTATACAAAACCAAAACGTCGTAATTGAAAATTCAAATTCCCCTCTAATAAATGATAAACATAATTCTTAGAACCATATTAATGTTTTATCATTTTGTTTACTCCATTTGTCAGTATCCCACTGTTCTTTGCACCTTGCAAACATGGCTACTGATGATCTTTTTATTATTAAAAATATACCAATACAGACACATATCCATCTCGCCTACTAAAAAGCAGCTGAACTTTAAACATGTTACCAACGGGTTTTGAACGTCTGCCTAATCTTTTTGGACTTTGGATTTCCCACCTGCGCCTTTGGATTTGTTTGCCTGTTTGGACTGCTTTTCTGGTTTTGACCTTTGTCTGCCTCATTATTCCAGAAGCCTGGTCCAGTTTTGTACAATAAATCCTTTAACTATCAGCCAGCCTGCATTGTCTGCATTTGGGTCCAACTTTTTACTTTTACCCCCTACATTTTTACACAAATCTCTGTACTCCTACATTTTCAAAACAGGCTTGTTATTTTAGTTTTGCTGCATTTGACAGGAATTACTGATTTATTTTTTGTTAAATGTATTTTTGCAACATTGCACGCCTTCCCAACATCTATTGCATACAGGAACTACAATGGCAACATGGAGAGCACTGCACAGAAACTAGTGAAGTCTACAAAGATACAGGTCACATCCACAAAGGGCTCTGCTACAGTGGTGACAGGCGTTTAGGGCTGGAACTAACAATGGCATAATTGACTTATCTGCCATTATTATACCTAATTAAGATCCTCTGGATGAAAAGTTCTCAAGCAGAAAATTAATTTACATTCTGATCTAATTGACTCTAAATAACCATGGGATAGAGCTTCTCTAAACCCTTGTAACAGATGACTTTATATTGTTAGTGCATTTGGCACCTGTTCTCAAACATATACTGGTCTCATCTTACTGTTACTTTCCATTTAGTGTAGCAGAGCCTTTCCAGTGAGCCAGCATGCACAATGATAGCCCCCTGACTCTGTTTGACCTGAATGGAACAGAACCTTAACTAACACTGATAAAGCCTGTTAAGATCTATATACTGTAGTCCACATGGACATCAAAGAAAGTGAGTGACCCCAGCAGATTTACATTCAAGGCATTACTTGATAAAATGTACTTGTTTCCGTGGAGCATTAGACACCATATCATGCTGTATGGAAAAAAGCTGGACCTCTAGCAGCAACACAAAATAAATCTCAGAAAAAGAGCAGGGAGTGATTGTCTGTGTGTGTTGCCTAGGTGCATTTAATTGAGGATTCTCAGCAATAAATTGGACCATACCGGAATAATTCAAGCAGTCCTCTGATGACCTTGTGCTGCATGCATGGTTAGACCTGCAGTACATACTGTGTGTATATATGGCTGCATACACTGTATGTAGTTTCTAATTCAGAGCAGAAATGTGATATGAAGCACAAGAGATCAGATCGTTCCTTCCTGCGTGAATGCAGCATTTACACTAGAGACACTGCACATTTGTGTGAACCTGATAGGCTTCGCATCTCTCAGCCGTGCCGGGGCGAGTCCCCTCACAGGTCCTCCTGCTGTGAGATTC